GTAAACGCCCAGGCTGAGATCTTCCTCCACCTCTCCTGTATCTCCCCCTCCTGCAGAGAGTTCCTGAAGAGAAGAAAGCTCCTGCAAGATGTGACCATCCCCCCCACCAGCTGAAGAGCCCTTTATGTATTCTAAGAGCAAGGAGAAGAGCCTCTGAAGCATCTACACTACTTGATACAAAAACTGTCTAATGAAACCTAAGGTAATATGTTCCAGGAGACAGATTCTGTAGTTGAGGGTAGGTCCTTTTGAACTGCTTTTCCAGATGTCTTCTTTTGTTTGGTGCAGAGACTTCACAGTGTGTTCCAAAAATATCTGCTGCCCAAGGCAATTAAAATTTTAAAAAGTCATCTAACAGACATTTAGCAGTGACAGGTGAGAAGTTGTGTCTGACAGGATGCATTGAAGTGATAAGTTTAAGGTAGTTTAAGGTGTTTTAAGTGTGACGTCATTAGCCGTGTCTGGGCCCAAACTCCGCTGCAGGTCCATAAGCCAAACAATCACTGCGGCATCACTGAGAGTTAAAAACTGTTTAAATTCTTTCATCTGTAATAAAATAATCATTGTGGCTGCTCTACCAGATGTAACAATTAAGTTTAGCATCCAGGCATCCATGGAAACGGATTTTATTAAACTTAACGGAGTTAGAAGTTAGCAGGGAGTTAGGTCACTAGTTTCCATCTAAATATAATATAGCCCGTCCTGACTGAGAAATTTCTAAAACAAATTAAGACGTACAGCTCTGCTATCACTTCCGACATAAATGAAGACAGGAAAGTAAACAGCAGTGGCGTTTGTAGGGTTACTTTAGTTTGGCTAGCTGATATATAACGATGTGCTACGTGATCGCTAGCGACACAGCTATGTTAGCTTAATATAAACAGTGAAGGTGGAGGATGAACGCTAACTTGTTTCCACTCAATAAATGTTAATGTGAGGGTGGGAGAACAACTGAAATAATCCATCCACAATACGAGGTTAGTCATTAATATACTGCTGCATGGGCTGGGCTGTAGTTACATCGTAAGATTTTAAAAACTGAGCGTTAAAATGAACAGTGACAATAAACACCGAGAGAGGCCGACAGTGATCACTGCCT